TAGCCAGGATGGTCTCGATCTCCTGACCTCATGATCCACCTGCCTCGGCCTCCCAAAGTGCTGCGATTACAGGCGTGAGCCACCGCACCCCACAGGGCAAGGGTTGCAGTGAGATAACACCACAACAAAAGCAAAACTCCGCCTAAAAAAAAAAAAGCAATGAAAGGAAGCAATATACATTCTGTATTACCCGCATTCTAGCCAGAATAATGGAAAACAAAATACTTACCCGGGAGCAATTCTATATTTTTATCCTGGTGCCTGCATTTACTGCCTGACCTTGGTTAATTACATCCATTTCTGCCTGCCCTGAATTCTTGAAGGGTTTTAATTAATAGCTGGGTATCTATGAGTCAGGCATTAGTAAACATATCTATAATCTTACAACCTTACAAGTTATGTATTCTTGCTCCATTTTAATGACAAACTAAAGATCTGACACTGGCTGGGTGCAATGCCTCATGCCTGTAATCCCAGCACTTTGGGAGGCCGAGGCGGGCGGATCACAAGGTCAAGAGATATAGACTATCCTGGCTAACACAGTGAAACCCCATCTCTACTAAAAATACAAAAAATTAGCTGGGCGTGGTGGCGGGCAACTGTAGTCCCAGCTACTCAGGAGGCTGAGATAGGAGAATGGTGTGAACCCAGGAGGCGGAGGTTGCCTGGGCGACAGTGCGAGACTCCATCTCAAAAAGATAAAAAATAAGAAAATCTGACACCAAGTGACTTACCCAAAGCCACACAGCTAGAAAGTACTACAATCAGGATTTCAAGAGTCTCGCTCTAAATCCTCTGCAAAGGCTTTGGTTAAGAGTTGAGGCCGGGCACAGTGGCTCATGCCTGTAATCCCAGCACTCTGAGAGGCCAAGGCAAGAAGATCACTTGAGGGCGGCAGCCTAGCCAAAATGGTGAAATCCTGTCTCCACTAAAAATACAAAAATTAGCTGGCCATCGTGGTGCGTGCCTATAGTCTCAGCTATTCAGGAGAGTGAGGCAAGAGAATCACTTGAACCCAGGAGGTGGAGGTTGCAGTGAGCTGAGATCATGCCATTTGCACTCCAATGTGGGTGACGGAGCGAGACTCCATCTCCAAAAAACAAAGAAAAACCTAAAAATACAAAAATTAGCCGGGCGTGGTGGCACATGCCTATGGTCCCAGCTACTCAGGAGGCTGAGGCAAGAGAATGGCTTGAACCCAGGAGGCAGAGCTTGCAGTGAGCTGAGATCCTGCCATTGCACTCCAGCCTGGGTGACAGAGCAAGACTCCATCTCAAGAAAGAAAAAAAAAATAAGTGGTAAAGTACACAAAAATGCTATGATAATATATGACAAAAATGCTATTGTGTAATATTTTTAAAGTAGGGAATTATACCAATTCACTCTCTTCAAAATATTACATAAAAGTATTACTACTATATATCTAGTAACTTAAAAAAAGCCACACATTTGAATTGTAATGCTGTATTCATTCTGTATTTCTCTCTAGATAAAAATCAAAGTAAAACTAGAACTGATAGTTTTAAAAAAAATCTAGTCATAATTACTTTGAATTCATTCACACAGGTTTCTTGAATATTAAGACAGGTATTTTCTTTAACTTCATGGCAGAACTTAGGAGTCTCACCAAACACACAAACACTGGCAACTTGATTCACTAGCTAACACCTCATTTGTATTTACAGGTGATCACTGTAGCACTCATATTCCTAATTAACAAAATCCTTCTAATTACAACTTGAAATTTGGTGGCCTCAAGTTCTCACTTTATTATCCCAGTAGTTTTAAACATGAAAATGCTGCATAGCTTACTGCAATCACTCAATAGCATTCCCTTGCTGCAGCAGCATCTGACACTGCCAGAATAGGAGTTCTGTTAAGTGAGAAAGAGCGTTCTCCACGCAGCAGGTCAGGATGCCTTGGCATCATTCTTCTGGCTCTCTACTTACTGTCAAGAGGCTAGGAAGAGAAAAAGGAACTTTTTTTTTTTTTTTTTTTTAATTTTCATTCCTGCAAGGAAAAAAAAGCAAAACCTCTCTGTGGTCAAATCTTCAGCCAATAGAAAAATCATTCCAATAAGTCCAATGGTGGTGTCATTGCTTTTAGGCACCAGTTTGGTACTATCCCATATACACGTCACATATTTTTACTGAACTTTAAAAGACAAGTAGAATTATTGACCAGGCACGGTGGCTCAGGCCTTATAATCCCAGCACTTTGGGAGGCCAAGGCGGGTGGATTACCTGAGGTCAGGAGATGGAGACCAGCCTGGCCAACATGGTGAAACCCCATCTCTACAAAAAAAAAAAAAAAAAAAAAAAAAAAAATACAAAAATTAGCCGGGCATAGTGGCATACACCTGTAATCCCAGCTACTCAGGAGGCTGAGGCAGGAGAATTGCTTAAGCCCGGAAGACGGAGGTTGCAGTGAGCCGAGATTGTGCCACTACACTCCAGCCTGGCCAACAGAGAAAGACTCTCTCAAAAGAGACAAGTAGAATTGTTACAAATCATGTAACAAAACACATTTATACTTTAAAAAAGACATCTCCCTGCCTGTTCCAGATGTTCAAATGCCAGTTTAAGAAAAACCCGGCCGGGTACGGTAGCTCACGCCTGTAATCTTAGCACTTTGGGAGGCCGAGGGAGGCGGATCACATGGTCAGAAGTTCGAGACCAGCCTGGCCAACATGGCGAAACCCCGTCTCTACTAAAAATACAAAACTTAGCTGGGCGTGGTGGTGGGCACCTGTAATCCCAGCTACTGGGGAGGCTGAGGCAAGAGAATCGCTTGAATTCGCGAGGCGGAGGTTGCAGTGAGCCGAGATCAGGCCACTCACTGCACTCCAGCCTGGGTGACAGTGTGAGACTCCGTCTCAAAAAAAAAAAAAGAAAAGAAAAAGAAAAAAAAAAGAAAAACCCTGGTCTTCCACTGATTTGGTTCAAAATATTTTACAGACTGCATCATCTGTTTGAAATACATTACCTTTACTGTTACCAACATGAAAAAGTGGACCTTTGGTTCCTCAGAAAAACAAACTGTTACTTTTTTAAAGGAAAACTTATCAAGAGATGAAATCTGAAAAACTTAAGTCTTTAATTCTACCCTTGGTAATGTAATAAATTATTCCTTTTATATTCCAATACACAAAGAGCTCTTGTAGACAAGAATCAGGCTGCTCAAACTAAAAACAGCATGTACCTAGGATCCTGGCAGTTTACAGGTGTTTGATTATCCTTAACCAGAGTAACTCATTAGAAGCATTTAAAACTATTTAGGAGGGGGGAGGGGGAAGCCCAGGAGATAAGAGCTATATTTCATATCTTTTTGAAACCCTCAAAGCCCTACACTCGTTATATTGCTTGAGCAAACAACATAAAATTGCTAATTTAAATTCGAATGGAAATAGTAACTGGTTACCTTTCACTCCAAAATTGGGTCAAACAATAGGAAAGGGGGAAAAAATCTACTTTTAAAAATTTAATTTAAAAGATGGGGATATTCATTAGACCTCCTTCACTTTTAAAAAGACAAAAAACAAACTGTTTTGGTTTATCTTACCTCTTCTGAGTCCTTCTGAATAATGCCTGAAACACACTAGCTGAAATCACAGACGATTACTGAGCAATGTTCTCTTTTCACAAGACCCCCAAGACCAGAAGCAGTTACTTCCTTTGGAAGTGCCCTGTGGCTGAGGCCATGTGGTTAACATGTGGGAACAAGCACAAGCCTTACCCATAATAAAATCAACACCTAAACCCAAATGTGGACCATTATGCCATTCTAAAATAGGTTCTCACGATATGGAAAAATCTAGATGGAGGGGGGCTAGTTGAATTTCGTGTCTTGTTTGTAATTACATCTGTTTCATTAATCCAAGAAATGATGCAGACTACCGCCCGCTGCTGTGGTTTTGGAGGTTTGACAAATTCGTGTTTTTTCTGGTAATGGCGCTTTTAAAGGATCCTAGCAACTTAAATGGTGTTGACTCAGGGAAAGTGAGCCCCATCAGCCTCTTTTCGAATGGTAATATGACACAAGCAACTTAGTATCTAAATGATAAAAATTCAAGAACCGGGAAACTATCAACTACGGGGAGTATAAACACTAAAGGCTCCCAAGTCTTCCAGCAGAATCTCGTCACCCCAAACACAAGGGCTCCTTCAAGAATCCTTTTTTTTTTTTTTTTTTTTTTAAAGACGGAGTCTCGCTCTGTTGCCCAGGCTGTAGTGGCGCGATCTCGGCTCACCACAACCTACCACAACCTACACCTCCCAGGTTCACGCGATTTTCCTGTCTCAGCCTCCCGAGTAGCTGGGATTACAGAAGCCCGCCACCATGCCCGGCTAATTTTTGTATTTTTAGTAGAGACAAAGTTTCACCATGTTGACCAGGCTGGTCTCGAACTCCTGACCTCGTGATCCGCCCGCCTCGGCCTCCCAAAGCGCTGGGATTACAGGCGTGAGCCACCGCGCCCGGCTAAGAACCCTTTTCTAAGGCCCCCAAAACCCTTGGCACATGGCCCGCCAGGCGCACGACCCCAGCACATGGCTAGCACGACTATACCCACCCCATCCCCCCTTCGTCGGAGCCCTTCCCCACCACACGGACTCCTTCCAGTGAGTTCCCGCCAAATCCACTCTCGACCCCTCATTCCGCGACCCTCGAAGCGTCAGGGCCTCGGCCCCAAGGGCGCACGGGCGGGCCTCCTCTGCCCTAAGCCTGCGGCCTGGGGTGCGGCCCTGGCGCCGAGAGACCCACATGCTCGGCGACCCAGCTTTCCAGGACGAAGAAAGGACAAGAGTGTCGTCCGACAGCGGTGCGCCAGAAACCCGGGTCCGAGGCGGCGGCAGCAGCCGAGCTTCCCGCCTGACGCAGCAGCGGCGCAGGCCAAAGTGTGGCCGCCATCGCCGCCTCGCCGCTCCCTACCCTCTCTGTCCGCCACAGACCCGGCCCGCACTGCGCCTCCCTCAGCGCCGGCCCCCTCCCCCAGCCCTCACCTTCCGCGTCGGAGCGGACCCGCAGCGGCGGAGACTCGGACGCAGGCCTGGGGAAGACGGCTCGCAAGGTAGAGGCTGTTTATTTTGAGGGTCCTTGCCTGCGCCACACGCGGGTCTGCACACGGCCCCACATACGCCGCTGCGCACGGCTCTCCTCCGCCTCGCCCACGCGGCCAATCAGCGCGCGGGGTTCGGTAGTCCAATCAGTGTCGCCCGTGGGAGGGCCGCCCACCAGAGCGCGGCGCGGGGCGGGGCGAGTGCTTCTGCGCGCCGCGGCCTTACCCGCTGTGCCCCGGGCGCGGCCTTTCCCGCCGGGATCCCGGTCCCGATGCTTCTCGGGCGTTTCCCAGCTGGGTTCGGGCCCGGCCGGACTGGGTGGAAATCTGGCTGACCTTGGTGGTCTGTCTTGTCAGCTGGAGCAAAGGGATGCCAGGGGACGGGTCTCGGTGCAGTGACTGCGATTAGCTTGGGGCCGCAGAAAGTTTCTCCCCCTTCTGGGGCTCCTGCCAGGCCCTTGGCTTTCAGAGCCAGGCCCGATTTCCAGATAACATTTAAGTTTGCAGAAAAGGGGATGCCAGGTCACGGTCGTCACGGCTGTGGGATGTAGGCTGAGATTTGTATTGATTTTGTGAGCCGGGGAAGGCCTTGCTGCTTTCTCCGCCAGGACTGATGTATCTTCCCAAGATGCAAGTGCCTTGTAAGGGCGAGGGGCCTTCCTGGGAAGGTCATGAGCATGGAAGGGAGTGGAACCCAGAGTGTGACGTTTAGCACGTTTGTGAGTGACACCCCCCTGGAGGGCCAGGAGAACCTTTTGACCTGGTCTATCATATTCAGTAATAGACTTCAGTTTAGATATGGTATTTTCTCCAAAAGAGATTTGTGTATATAACCCTAGATATTCTTGTCAAGATTAAACCCAATTTAAATTGTTAACTGTAAACTATAATATTTTAGAATTTTGTGTCTCATCCTAGAATGGCTTTATTCGAAACAAAAAAAAAGGGAAGAGTCCCAAGTTTAATCTCAGTGGAACCTCCCAGTTCAATACTATGATTTCTTTTTCTTTTTTTTTAAGAGTGGGGTCTTGCTCTGTCGCTGGCATTACAGGCATGGGCCACCACTCCCTAATCCCAGTGCTATGATTTTTGAAATCATGTTGGTGAGAAGGCAGAGCACATGTGCTGAGAATCAGGCATTAAACCTGGGTTCAAATCATTAGTGCTTAATCATTGTAAAGCAGGAGATTGTGTTCAACATAGCAATTATCAGAGAATGAATGCATAACTTTAAGGACCAATGATATTTTAAACTTTTTTTTTTTTTTTTTGGAGAACGGAGGCTCGCTCCATCGCCCAGGCAGGAGTGTGATGGCACGATCTCGGCTCACTGCAACCTCCGCCTCCCGGATTCAAGCGATTCTCCTGCCTCAGCCTCCCGAGTAGCTGGGATTACAGGCATGCGCCACCACGCCCAGCTAATTTTGTATTTTTAGTAGAAGCTGGGTTTCTCCATGTTGGTCAGGCTGGTCTCAAACTCCCGACCTCAAGTGATCCGCCCACCCAAAGTGGTGATCAGCCTCCCTAACTGCTGGGATTACAGGCATGAGCCACTGCGCCTGGCTGAACTTTTTAATTTATCTATTACTATTTTTTGAGACAGAGTCTCCCTATGTCTCCCAGGCTGGAGTGCGATCTCAGCTCATTGCAACCTCCACCTCCCATGTTCGACCAATTCTGCCTCAGCCTCCTGAGTAGCTGCAATTACAGGCACCCTCCACCACGCCTGGCTAATTTTTGTATTTTTAGTAGAGATGGGGTTTCACCATGTTGGCCAGGCTGGTCTTGAACTCCTGGCCTCAAGCGGTACTAGGCCAAAGTGAAAGGATTACAGGTGTGAGCTACCGCACCCAGCCTTAAACATTTTTTTAATTAAAGCAACCTAAGGTAAAAATTTTTTAACCAAATTTAACCAAATCCCAATCAGATTGAATACAAGCCTAGCAGCTTATGTGTTGTGCTAAAACACGATGTATTATCTGCCAATAAAAACAGTATTTTCTATTTATGTAGTTTTATTACCAAGAGGCTTACTCAGCTTTATAGATGTCCCCTCTGTAATCTGATTAACCTTCATAGTATCTTGAGGTAATGTGTAGTGTAGCAATCAGACACTCAGGTAGTGACTTCCTGAGCTCTAACAATGAGTCAATATAATGCAAGAGGCTGTGTATGAAGTCCAACCTGGGAGTGTCCACACCACACCAGGAGGACAAGTTAAAATTACCATAGGACCAAAAATTAATATTTTCTGACTTATTTTTGTTTACCATTCCTACCATGGTACTCTATAAAATGTTTGCTGTTCATTATAGATCCATGAACGGAATATTCCTAATATTTAAAACAAAAATTTTAACAGCTATAGAAAATGAAAGTGTGAGACAGAGATACTGGACATAATGTTCTATAGGTTTTAAAAGACTTAAGTAGAAGAAATGGAAACATAATGTCTTTACTTCTTGGCAGTGGAGTAGTAACAGCTAATGGCTCTTTCTACCTGGCGTGCAGCTTCCTGTAATGACTATTATTAATAGTTCCAGGCTGATCGTTAGGCACCATGACTATCTCCAGAAAAGGTGTATAGTGGAATTTAACTACAATGGCTTGTATTGCCTGGATATGCCCTTTGGTACACCTATTTTACTAGAGATGTTTGAAAATAGGAAAAAGCTCACTCAAAAGATAAGCTGCCAGTGGGACTTGAAGAGGCTCCCATTACATTCCTCTTCCCTGGAGATGTTTTATTCCCCTCCTCTCCTCCAGTGTTCAGTCTGATACTCAGCATTGCAAGGGTTACAGAGGTGAATAGTTAAGACAGAGTTTGCCCTTGAAGAACTTGCAGGATAACAAGGGCCATAAGAAAGTATTAAGTGTCAGCCAAGTTCGCTGGCTCACGCCTGTAATCCAGCACTTTGGGAGGCCGAGGCGGACGGATCACGAGGTCAGGAGATCGAGACCATCCTGGCTAAGACGGTGAAACCCCGTCTCTACTAAAAATACAAAAAACTTCCCAGCACTGGCCGGGTGCAGTGGCTCATGGCTGTAATGCCAGCACTTTGGGAGGCCAAGGCGGGCGGATCACGAGGTCAGCAGATCAAGACCATCCTGGCTAACACAGTGAAATCCCGTCTCTACTAAAAATACAAAAAATTAGCCGGTCGTGGTGGCGGGCACCCATAGTCCCAGCTACTTGAGCGGTTGAGGCAGGAGAATCCCTTGAACCCGAGAGGCAGAGCTTGAAGGGAACTGAGATCGCACCACTGCACTCCAGCCTGGGCAACAGAGTAACACTCAGTCTCCAAAAAAGAAAAGAGAAAAGAAAAAAACCAAAAAACTTCCCAGCACTTTGGGAGGTGGAGGTAGGTGGATCACCTGAGGTCTACTAATAACACAAAAATTAGCCGAGTGTGGTAGTGGGCACCTGTAATCCCAGCTACTCAAGAAGCTGAGGCAGGAGAATTGCTTGCACCTGGGAGGTGGAGGTTTCAGTGAGCCGAAATTGGGCCACTGCACTTCAGCCTGCGCGAAAGAGGGAGACGCCATCTCAAAAAAAAAAAAAGGAAAAAAGTCTGGGCGCAGTGTCTCACATCTGTAATCCCAGCACTTTGGGAGGCCAAAGCAGGCGGATCACGAGGTAAGGAGATCGAGACCATCCTGGCTAACATGGTGAAACCCCGTCTCTACTAAAAATACAAAAAACTAGCCTTAAGTGTCCTGAGAGAAGACCAGCTAAAATGCTATGATTCAGCATCATTCCTAAAATGGGTACCAGTTGAGCAGCAATACCTGGCAACTCTTAATTTCTGCTTAAATGCCCAACTGCTTAGTACATGCTCTTAAATTGAGGGGATAGGTGATATCATATAAACCCATGTCTTGTCCCTGCCAGCAAGGAAATGGTGCTCTGTGACTTTACTTGGAAAGTATGTAACTAAGACTGAGGAGAATAAATTGGTGTTTTCACCTCTCATATTTGCTTCTGAAGCAGAAAGTTTACTAAGCTAAATCCTGAACTAGGAATTAGTAATACTAGTAATAGCTAATTATTAATATAGATACAGCTCTTATAACAGTTTCTGGCATAATTACTATTGAAATATTATTTCTTATTCTTATTTATTGGGTGCTTACTATATGCCAGGCAATGTTTTTAACCTCTTTATGAGTGTTCACAAATCCCCTAGAAGTACTTGTATTATCCCCATGAAGAAACGGGTACAGAGAGTTTAAGTAATCTGCTCAAGGTCAGAAAGTGAACAAATGACAGGTCAGGCTTCAAACACAGCCCATGTGCTTGAACAGTGCTACTGGCCTCCCAGTAGTTACTGAGGCCTACTCCTATAAAATTCCATTGACTCTCTAAAGTGATGGTATAGGGAATGCTAACTGATGATAAAGAAAATATGAAACACTGACAAATCATTTAGTGAGCATTTTATAAGTTAGTTGGCTTCCTCCTCTGTGACCTTAAATTGAAACTCTCTACTGCAAACTAACTGGTTAGAGAAAAATTGTATTTGCAAATAGTTTTAAAAGTTTCAAAGTAGGCCAGGTGCAATGGCTCATACCTGTCATCTCAGTACTTTGGGAGGCTGAGGCGGGCGGATCACAAGGTCAGGAGATCAAGACCATCCTGACTAACAAGGTGAAACCCCGTCTCTACTAATAATACAAAAAATGGCCCTCGTGGTGGCGGGCGCCTGTAGTCCCAGCTACTCGGGAGGCTGAGGCAGGAGAATGGCGTGAACCCAGGAGGCAGAGCTTGCAGTGAGCCGAGATGGCGCCACTGCACTCCAACCTGGGCTACAGAGCGAGACTCCATCTCAAAAAAAAAAAAAAGTTTCAAAGTAAAACCACCCATCCTTTTTCTTTTTCTTTGTATAAAGGAAAGGAATAAAGAAGGACTACTCCATAAGCAGAGCAGCCTCTTTTTTTCCTTAAAAGAAAAATAGCTGGCCAGGTGCAGTGGCTCACGCCTGTAATTCCAACACTTTGAGAGGCTGCGGCAGGTAGATTGCTTGAGCTCAGGAGTTTGAGACCAGCCTGGGTAACATAGTGAAACCCTGTCTCTACCAAAAATACAGAAAATTAGCCAGATGTGGTGGCGCCTGCCTGTAGTCCCAGCTACTCAGGAAGCTGAGGTGGGAGAATCACCTGAGCCC